GCACCATCATGGGACTTCACTAACCAATTGGTAACATTATTTTAATCTTTTATTTACAGTCTATGTCATCAGCGTGTGAATGGGTTGTGAAATTAATTTAGACATGTTAAAGGGATTTTTTCCAGTTCTCTTTAAAAGCCTTTTCTGCATTGTAGTTAAAAAAATTTTCCTGGGAAAATCCAAAGTACTGCTTCCCACACAGAAACTTTACTTAGGCACACTACGCAATAATAATAATAATAATACCTGCTCAAAGAAATCTGAAGACTCATTGTGGCATTTTACATTTTGCAATCTGTATGAGAGAACTATGCCACTCCATGATCACTTTACAAGTGGAAAATCCCTGCTTTCTTATTTTGAAAGGTCACTGCTAACCAGCTAGGCTCCCTTATGATTGTGCTGATCAATACTGATCGCCGGACTCCCCAGAGACATGCGTCCACGGCTGAACGTACCCATTCACCCATCTTTGATTGTAGCTGGCAACTGCAGTCTCTGTTACTCTGAAGATCAGGTCTGGCCTGTAACTCTAAGGAGAAGCAGGTGGAAAACGACTGTGTTCCCAAACAGAGCTCACAAGAACTGCCAATTTCAGTCAAAAAGGGTGGAGCTGAAGAGAACAGATGAGCTGGTACAGGTGGCTTTTAAAAATATTTAGTCATTTATATGGCACAAAAGGTTTGTAATGATATATTATATATACATATATATAATATATTGTTTTTTAATTTATAGCTGTGAATCATGCAAAGCTTTTTAAGTAGATCCCAAGGGGAAAAAATATTGAGCTGCAAATGATGAGAACAGGTCAACTTTAACAACAAGGCTTTTCAGAAAGTTGCACAGAGAAACTTTAAATCCTAATTTATGCCCACATAAAGCCTATACTATAAAAATAAATGAATTTCAATATTTTTCTCTTTTTTAAAGTAAACTCGATGGTTCATCTTAATTCCTCCCCTTCGTGTCTGGTTGACCAGGCTATAAAAAAAGTAAATAAATAAATAAATCTGGCTCTCTTACATAAGCACTAATAGCTGGTTTGAAAAGTCGTGGGTTGAGAGAAACAGCTGATAACCCCCCTTTTTGTGAAACAATTACAATTGCCATTGTTGCATCTGCACAGATGGTCCAAATAACAGCACATATTTGACCTTTTTTGCATGTGTACTTTTTGGATTAAGTCACCATTACAAAGCAAGAGTGTTTACAGTAAAAATGCATCTACCTTCTACTGATGGCATTGCTTAACCTTAAAATGGACCAATCATGCTCATTTCTACCTCCATATTTTTTTCCCCCTTGGGCTCTAGTAGAGTAGCTTTCCATGACTCAAAAGAACCCCAAACTTGTTTATCCTATACTTGGTCTCAGCTTATTACATGGCTCCTCTCCCTTTAAGCCAACAGTCTTCTGATTGGCTACCTCAGCAAACAGATGGTTTGAACACCAGATAGGTGGAGCTTCTGTGCTACTTCTTTTACATCATACAAAGCCACAAGTAGGGTATTCACCATTGCAATAGTTTATATATGACAGATGGAAGGTGAATTGCTTCAGAGCTGACATAAAATGCTCTTCAAGAGCTCAGTCATATCTACAAATAATGTAGGTCCTTGGAGCAAACATTCAATTCTCAATGTACATCTTTAT